CCCTCAAGATAATATGTCTTTACCATAAAAGAAAGAAATGTCCCTAATTTGTGGTTATTTACAGCACTGTAAATCAGGCACATGCCACGAAGTACCAATAAAAATTGCTTAAAATCAGCCTTAAATAGCTAAACTCTCAACAGCAGCTCATAAAATGAGACTTGGCAGTTCTTAGGTAGTTATGGTTAARTTGACTGTCCTTTTGGGAGTTAAGATAGCCAAAAGCAGTAGTAGTTAGGAGCGAAGTGATAGATGGTAGAGCTCATTGGTTGAAGAGCCTCTRTGGTACCCTCCTGAGGCTGAGGACTGGCCATGGGCTGTGAAGAGGCAGATATCAGACTCTGTCACTGAACACTAGCTTGCTAGATCATATATCCTTCATTTAGGTGGCCTTACAAACTGCAGAGCTAGGCAGAAGAATGAGCTTTGGCATGAAGGATCTCATTGCTATCTGCATGTAATAGGAGACTTTTCAGGCAGGAAGAAAGATAGAGGAGAAGCATGTCCAAAACAGAACGAAAGGAGAGTAAGGAAATCTGAAGAAGGGACCGACAGCATAAGTGAAAAAAGCCCATCCATAAAGAAACCAGATCTCAGCTCCTTTTTAAAAGTCAGGTGCGTGAGCTATATTAGCCTCGAGCCAGGTCTAACTTCCGCTGCCAATAACCACTTCCACTGCCAATAACCCAAGCTGACATAACAGCAACATTAAGGAGGTTTGGGATTTTTTTTTTTTCTGTTGCATTAGGCATTCATGCTGCTTTTCCACTTTTTTTTTTTTTTTTTTTTTTTCACAAAGTACTTGTATTTTAGCCAATCTCCTCCCTCCCTGTTAAATAAGAGGAGATTCAAGATGGGGCCCGAACCTAAACATTAGCTCAGCGTAACCATCACCGTGAAAAACTACAGATCTGGGTCTCAGTGCTGCCATTGGTGCTAATATGGACTGAGCATAGCCTAATGCTGGCAAACCAGCTCTTGTAACCTGAGCTTGCATCCAGGGTGGATTTCTGTTGCCTCTCTAGCAATATGTCAAAATAGCTCTGAGGTAATTCAGCCCTTTGGGCTGTGTTTTATCTCATTTTCCTTCCCTACCTCTCTATTCTAGGTATGTATTTTCCCTGGAGCTCCTTCCAGTCTTCAGTGCCCTTCTACACACAGCAGCTTAGTGATATAAGGCAATATTATTGTCCTCTTAGCACCGATGAAACAAAGCATGGACCATTTATGAGGACGTTGCTGTGGGCAAGCACAGGCACAGAACAAGCAGTGTTCCAAAAACTGCACAGGCATATCCACACCAGGTTGAGTCTGATCCATGTTCTGCTGAGGACCTTGGTGTAGCAGACCAGAACTGGGGCCATACCAAGGTGGTTACTCAGTTTCCAAACTGGAGCAGGTTTCCGTCCAGCTGGCTCCCATCAGGCATGCAACTGTCTGCACTTGGCCATGGAAACATGCCTAAGACCTCAGACATTCAGAAATGCTTGAATTTGTTAGGTTAGGTTAACTTAGATCTCTTGGAGGTTCTTCGTTCTCAAAGAGTGTCACAGGTCGTTCATAGTAAAACRGGACTATAACTGAGATCAGCCTTGCTAAAAGCTGTTATTGTGACCATTGCCTTGCCTCCCATCAGACTTCAGAGCTGCTTCCAGAGTACTGAATAATACATGTATACATTGAATATACATGGAATATACATGGAGGGTCTGGCGTGCTCATTTCATGGGGAGTCCATGCTCCTTTTTTCTGCAAAACATAGGCCATGGTTTCAGAAAGTGTGCTCATGTATCATAAAGATTGAATGGAAAGACAAAATAAGCTGAAGAATCATTTCAGAATCTGAGATTTCACAAGAAAAAAAAAAAAAAAAGCTGTTATGTTTAAAATCTACCATGCTGAAAGACAGCTGCAACCTTACATTTGCCACATAGCAAATGGGCATCTAGAGCAGCACTCATCCCAAGCAGCAGAAGTGAGGTTGGCTGCTGTAGCTGCTTCACTCTCCTGGCAGTATCGGCATTCTGCTCTGAGGTTCTCATTGCTTTCCTGAGAATAAGACCTGCAAAATTTGATATTCATGCACAGCCCTGGTAGACCTGACTTAGAGGAGAAGGAAGAGAGAGGTCTTTATGATCAAAGGAGTCAGCACTGCACACTCAGRTTGCAGGAGTCAGCACTGCACACTCAGGTTGCAGCTTTGACAGGGTGGGCAGCCAGACAGACTTACTTTTATCTTCCATCCCACGCAGAGGACTCCATCCACATGCAGTTGTCTTGTCTGGCACTTGGTACAGGGAAACATGGCCCAGGGCTCCTCAAAAGCATGAGAAATGGAGGTCATCTTTGTCAAGTGGATACCCTCTATAAGGATTCCCAAGGAAGGCCTTGAACTTGGGCTGCCTGAAGCCACCACTGCTTGGCAGCAATCCCATGGCTGGTAGGGTATGGTGTACATCACTGTCAGGCTACCCAGGCAGCCCTAACTGGGGCTTTGAGTGGTTTCTCAGTGATCCCTCACTAGGGCAAATAGGGCAGAGGTAGTAGAGTTCCCTGGATGCTGGAAGATGAACCTGTTGTCCTGAATATTCTAAGCAATGTGGCCAAAATTGGACCTCCCCTTTCTCTCAGGGATTTTTAGGAGGTTGGGAGTGCAAACTGTATGAAACAGTTGCAGAATGTGGCAGAAGAATGAGTTGGTCCCTTCACATCAGATCCAGACACAAAGGATGCATGAAGAAGCCCAACATCAGTAAGATGTAGGTGTTTCTATACATTCCCAACAGCAAAAAGTTAGGCTGTGAATCAGACATTGGACAGATATTACAGAGCTATAAATATATCAGAGATAAACAGAACCTAAAATCTCAAAGTGCCAACTGCCAACGAAAGTTTTACTCATCATCCTTCCCATGCAACTGGAGGCACTTCATTGATACACAGAAGTTAGGGGACTGATTGCACTGGACTCTCACTACTGTGAATATTCAACTTCTAGATGGGCTGATTGAAGCTCCTTCTCCAGCAAGTCTCCAAAGATCGGACCTCCCAGTATATTCATACATGGTGCTACAGACAAAGGCAGCCTGTAAACAGAAAAGACCCCTAAACAACTGATGTATTTCCATGCACATGCATGTTTCCCAATGACTCTGAATAGCAAGTACCWGTGTTTCCTGATGCACTCCTCCAACCTGAAGGATATAAAACCACCGTATTATTGCARCTAGCAGACCAGCAGTCATTATAACTAGAAGTCATTAGCTTAAAYTTGCTCAACAGAAATTTTTTAATGGGAATTTGCTAAGTTACTTCAAAGAACTTTAGTATTCAGTATTAAAGTATTCAAAATTAATACTGTATTGTTAGTAATACAGTACTAGCAATCCTGTTTTCTCTTTGCTTATCATGTACTTGTACCTGAATGCAGAACACTCCAGAATACTACAGGAAACCAGAAATGCAAATGACAGATAAATGAATATTTAATTCAAACCAGAAAAAATGTTGTTTGCAGTTATTTATTTTACTAAAATGGTTACATATGTTGAAACAAAGAAGAGCAATAGTAATAATGTTTGTTTTTCCTATATCATAAATAATTATTGAGTCTTCATTAGCTGTTGGCTCAGCAATGATCATGATTTTTGTTATTTAAAAAAGACACACACATAATTCATTAGAATTTGTGTTTTGGAAAACTCTAAAGCAGCAGTAGAAAAAATAATAAATTAAAGGAAATGGTAACAAGAAATTATGCCACGTATTTCTGAAATTTTAAATCTACTTGATGTGTGTTACAGATTATTCTTTGTGCTTTGATCATTTCAAAAATAACCAAGAACAAGTTGTTTAAACAATGGCTTGTCTTCTCCAAGTTTACTCCAGAGAAGTCACCAAAAGTATCTTTTTCACATGACAAATATTGTTGCCATTTACGCAGACAAAAAAACACTGTGAATATAGCTAACAGAAAAGTTTGACAAAACCATCAATTTATTGTCACAAAATATTTAATACCAGAATAACTTATAATAGTATGAACAAAAGTGAAGCATTAACTCTTTGCTATTAGTTAAAAACTCACATTATTATGTCAAAATCCAGTAAAGTATCAAAAATTATTGTCATGGAATCCTAGACACATAATGATGCAAGTCAGTAAAACATATACTTCAACTGTTCATACAGTCATGACATACATTTCTTGCTTGGCACTTTAAGTCAATGCAAATCAGCAATTTAGAAAACAAAGTAAAAATATATATGTACAAAATATTTTCATATCAAATCATTTTCATCGTACACTAAATAAACCCAACAACATGTTATGTTACATCAAGGAGTTTCCTAAGAAGTCACACCAAGGCTGATATTTGCAATGTATCTGGACTGTTTTAGTGCAACTGGAACAGCCAGCCTGTATTTGTAAGTTAGTTGCATCATTAGCACAATCCTGCTTCCATTGAAATGGTAGCGTGGCCACTAAATTCAGTGAGAGCAGGACTAAAGTCATATTTTGTTCATTGATGGCTCACCAAAAAGAGAAAAGAGGAGAGGGAAAGGAAAAAAACGGGGAAAAAACTGACAGGATACCCACAGGAAAACATCCAAATCCTACAACAATCAGCTCTTTTCCAGTTTTCTGCAACTGAAGTCATATTTGGCTTTGCCACTGATTATTCAAGCACTGTAAACCTCATTAAAATATTGTTATAGGATTTAATAATAACTTTTACATGAAAAAAATTCTCCTTAAAAAACAAAACTGGTTTTGAGTTAGTTATTACACTCAATAGCCGTAAAGTTTAGAGACATGACATTTAATATATGGCTTAGTATCTACCTAAAACTCTCCTAAATTGGATGCTGAGATTTTTCAGTGTTTCATATTCCATATGTTTCTAGTTTGGGCTTTGATATTTTATTATAGCTTTTCTTTTCTCACTGAAATGTGATTTATCAATCAACTGTCCCCAGTTATGGAGTAGATACAAAAAAAAAAGCATTTAAAACACATTAAAGTAAAATGTGTATCACGGAAACTTTTTGAGCTTCATTGCAAATCAGGAACTGCTCTATGGACTTAGCAATCAATTTTGTTTACTTACATCAAAACTTCAATTGAAGTCACTAACAAAACCTTGAAAGGATAGAAATTCAACTTGAATTTACGGATAGTCTGGCTTGAACCTTCTCAACTATAAATCTTTAATGGACAACATGTCTGGGAGCAAATGTGTAAGTTCAAAATAATTGGAGCAGTCAACATATTTCCTAAATTCGTGTGTTCTAGAGTATTGCACTTTTCAAAGGAATGATTTTGGTATTTTAATAAACTGCAGGTGAGAAACATGCATAACAACCTCATTGTCACTTTGACGAAACATACTGTACAATTTTTATAACACTGGTTAAAAAAAGAGAGACTGATGTAACAATTCCATTAAGACTCAATTTGTACAAGGCAAATAAGCACAATTCTCCAGGGCCTCCAGCAGTAATGTGTTTAGCCCTAGGCTGCTTAAGCCCACTTGGAATAATATACAAAGGTTAAGCATTATGGCATTATCATTTTGAGGCATAATAGTGTTGTACTATGCCCACGTTATAGCTTATTTCTTGAAAGCAAGGCACTTACTGTAATAGCAATGCAAACATCTTATGCGCACTTTGATTAACATAAAATAAGTTAATGTTTTGATAAAAACAGGTTTTTATAATTTACATGCCTTTTATAGAAGCAATTGAACATTTCATTTAACACAATGAAAACATCTGAGTCTGAAGGAATGTTTTTCTTTTTTAAACTGACCGTACTGTAAAAAGGGGCTTATTTTCCACATTTGCCTCATATCTGTGAATCTGATTTTACTGAAAACCAATCCTGTGAGGAAAACGTCCATTTGACGGGAAGAAGAAACAGGACCCATCTCTTAAAACTGCTGAACTAATGGCACTTTAACAGTCTTTACTTCTGATATATGTGATGATTTCTGAATGATGCAGCTGGTAGTCCCTTGCAGTTTATCCTTCCCTTGGGCAAGGTTCGTTAGGGCCATAGCTGCGTTGATCTCCTTCCAGTATGTTTCATCTTTGCTGGTTCCTTTTCTGTTAGCTGCGCTAGATTCAAGCAGTAACAAATATTTACATGTACAGCTTGCATAGCTACAGTAGCTATGTGATGTCAGGATAAACAGGAATAATAACAAGTTTGAAAAGCTGTAAAGCCCCTTACTCACCTTTCACACTTATTTGGTCCATTCTCAAGAGTTTCTGAAAATAGAAAGAAAACATTTTAAATGCCTATTTTCTTTTAATAGTTTTTGAAATAGGCAARTGGAAAAATAACCCAAGGTTAATTCCGAAATTGAGGGTAGATTTCTAAATCAAATCCTTGTTCAGACACTCATGAAGGGTCAGATTCACTCAAACATCTCCGTGTGCAGAAATCAACAGTCTGCTTTGAGCAAGGGGCATGGCCAGGAAACCACCGTGGGGAAATTTCAATTGTGGGAAGGTTCCTGTGATAGGATATTACAGAAATAGGAATTGGGGAGGCACAACTTGACACCGGCACTGCRGAATCCTGCTAGGAGTATCCTCTATCAGGCTAGGCTGGAAAAAAGTATTTTGGTTGTCTCATTAATAGTGAGAATAAAGCTGGTCTCAGAGGTTTATCTACATTTTGCAAGGCAATGGAGCTGATTGTTCAATACATAAATCCTAAGGACACAAGGAAATATAAAAAACTGAAAATAAAAATCAGATTTATTGCCCTTCAGTGAATGCACTCCTGTATGCACTAAAAATAGATCCTTTGCCCATACGCAGCCACCGTGCGTGTGGTTTTTAACGCGTCCCTTGCCCAGGCTGCAGCTTGCTCACAAGTGCAAGCTGAGAAGGATACATAGGTCTAAAGGAGCAAGCACACGTGGTTAACAGCCTTCCAAGATTAAATTGCATCACGGGCATAATCTCCACTTCCCCATCAAGAGTCCCACTTGTTCATTCATGTAAGCCCTCACATCGCAGAGAAGCCAGAAATATTTACCAGGCAGAAATGTATGGGCTTTATTCAGCGCTCCTGCTATCCCCACAGAGACACGCATTGTACAGGAACTACATGCTGATGCCTAATGGCAATGCCTATAAAGAATGAGTCAAACAAGCAACAAAAAAAGAACAGCTAGAGCATGGGCACCAAAGATGCAAAAAGCCCCTACACTCAGCATAAAACTAGAAAAAACATGCACCTTTTTTCATGGGACTGGATTCCCAAATGGAATCCAAGAGTTGATCAGGAGAGATACACTTCATGCTGTGCTTGGCTACACATTGTTATTTAGCCTTGCTTCATTTATTTTTCAGCAGTGACAATTTCAAAGAGGAGGTTTAGGATTTAATAGGTCAGTAGGTATAGAAATGGAAATGGCAAGTAATAGAGCATGTCACTGCCAGAGCAAACCTGGATATAAATATACATCTCTCATGCATCTGTCAGTTGCTTTTGCTGTTGGAAAATATTTCCTAGGAACAAAAAAATTGCTTGTATAAACTTCTGAGGAAAGTAGGTGTGAATGGTGACACACATTCCAATTCCAGCGTTTATTTGAAGGAGTATTTGCAAATATTTTTTAGTGGTGTTTAGCCAGCTCAAAAGGAAAGTGGCTTGCCCAGGGCATAGAAAAGCAGTTGCACAGCTACAAAGCAAAATTCGGGAGTGCAGAGCCACACAGTTTTAATTTTGCTGGAGGTTCTTCCTGAATTAAAAAGAAAACATATTTTTTATTTCAAGTTTTATGGTTTTTAAACAAGTATTTCATTTCAAAGAAACTTGAAAGTGGGCAACAATAAAACCATTATGGATAATTTGCAAAGCTCTTGCTAATAAGTGGTGTTTAAGCATGTTAGTACAATGAAGTCTGAAAATCCATCATTTCAATACACAGGCCTGCTTTTTCTGGCCAAAAGTCCTTCTCTGCTACACCAAATTTGTGACAGCACATCTTAGTTTGCACTGCCATAGCACCTTAGCAGCTCTCAGCTGTTTGAATTTAATGTTTCACAGACCAGAGGGAAGTAAATAAGTATTTTCACCATTTTTGGATGGGGATAACCTCCTCAGGAGAGACAAACAACCCAATTTGACAGACAAGGTGGATCTCCAGATCCAGATCCTTTGCCTTTAAGGATCCTTTGGATCYTCCAGACCCTTTGCCTTTAAGAAGACATAAGCATGCACCTTGATATAAGCATGCCTTCCTTGACATCTTGCAGGTCAAGTCATCCTGATCCAAAACACCATAACTAGAGGCAACGTTCATCTCACTTGCCCTTAACTTGCCATCTGAGTCATGCATTTATCCAGCCTAGTTATCCATTCGTTCACAAACAAGAAAAATGTCCTCTAAGAAGTGGTTCAAGCCCACCTATCTAACAAAGTCCAACCTCCCTATGTGCTGCTGCAAAAAYAGGCAGAGCAGCCCATCTCCTCCTGTTGTGTCCCTTTGGTAGCAATATTATCCATGCTATAAGCAGGATGCGGGAAGAAGTAGGCCYCCCTCTTCTTTGGAGATTAAACTGGCAGTGTAACTTGGAGCTTAGCTGCTGTCTCTGACAGGGGTGAACTTCAGGTTGTCTCTTCACTGACAAGAAAGGGGATAGAGATGAAAAAAATATATATAGTTTAAGAAAAAAAAAAAAAGAGAGCACACATTTTGCTTTTTCTTCACCTTTCATAATCTACCTGTTTTGTCCTGAACACTAATTAAAGCTTTTGGTAATTATAGCTTTTGAAGTTTGACAATGCTGCCCAAMAATTACACAGTATATTTTAACTGTAAAACAGCATGTTGCATGAACATAGCCCGAGAACAACATCCTCAGTACAGAAAGGGATAGTTTTCTTGACCATTGCACAATGTATTCCTAAATGTCTTCTCTGAGAGAATGTCTTCTCTGAGAGAAATGGCATCAGGCCTGTGTAGTATCACTGGCAAYGGCAGGTAAAGGCATGGGAAAAGGATGCACCACACTGAATCCCACTGACCATCCCCGGCCCCAGAACAAGTGCAGACAAGCAAACTCATCACTTTACACATGGCCCCTCTCTTAACTACATGAGAGGCATCCCTTTAAACAAGGTGCCAAGGATGCACGATAGCTACCCTTTCTTGGAAAACTTTACCTGGAGGTTACCTTTCATCTACATAGACATCAGGGGGCAGTCACCTTTGGTCTCTCCYGAAGAAGTGTGGTCCTCTCTACTCCCATCGAGACAGGCTGTCACCCAATTTTCAACCTCTATACACCAGCAGTGGAGTCCCTGCCTCTCCTCTGGCWTACATATCATGCTTAATTCAGCACAGTGTCAACTGAGACTCTAGAGAAAGACCGTGTCCCCAAGATTTTTATACCCAGGCCTTATACTCAAATTTATCAACTGTGTAAAATTGGCCAGAAGAAAGAACTTCCCTAAACAAATCACAGTAGTGTTCAATAGTGTATTTACTCATTCAGAACCAAATCTATTAGTTACTGATGAAGATGATTGGCTGTGTCTCAGAAAGTAATGCGCTTACTGGGAGGAGGATGTTGGCAAGTTTTCAGAATATACTGACATTCTACTGAAGTCTATTTGCTATAAAATATTAAGAACATCTTTTTGTTACAAGTTCAGAAACCCCTTGTGAAGACTGTCACTTGCTTTGCAACTGGGAATTTTTAAGCACTCTGAAAGTGCAAAAATAATTATTTGTAATTAAAGCTTGTCGTTTAAGCCTCCCCTTCTCGTGCTTCATTCTGCTCCCAATTGCAAACATGCAGAGAGTCAGCTTTTGCCTGGCCAGGAATGTCTCTCACCCTCCGCCCAAAGAAACGAGCTAGGTTGGATATTTGTTCCCTCTTGTTTATAATAGGAAGTAACTATAAATCACTTACTGATGGAATCCTGTATACCTTTCCATTAGTATGAGTTTTCAGTATACAGCTTACTGTAGCATGCAGTGCCAAGAGTGTAGTCACTGGACAATACCAGCTTTGTGATACAGTATGGTATTTTTCAAGACTCACATAATTATTAATAATATATGTAGCACTTTTTATTTTTCACCATGAAATTTCTTCATAAATACTCACTGGTTGAAACTGACAGCTCTCTTGCAAGGTAACCAGTAGTCCCATTTTAGCAGAGATGGAAATGAGTCACAGAAATCCAAAGACAACACGAGAAGGCAATACTGCACTCATTTCAAGCATTTATGAGCAGACTTTACAGAGTTTCTCCTATATTTAAATTATTTTCTTTTGTTCTTCTGCTATGAGGTAAAAGGAAACTAGTCCTAGGGTATGGAAGAGAAGTTGGCAAACCATCTACAGGCTGGACACTAGTATCAATTTCACTAGTACTTTACCATTACTATTAGCACTTTTTGTCTAAATAATAATACGTAAGAGTCTACAGAAAAATATACATCTTCTAAATACCCATATATCTGCTCCAGCTCACAATATATTGAGTCCCTTTGGCTGTGTGGTGCTTGCAGCATGTTCAGAAATTTCAGAAAGATCCAGAGCCATAACTTTTATGTACTTGAAGGACTTCAGGGATATTCTAAATAATGCTGATTACAGCTACTTTTCAGCTTTTTGATCTAAGAACTTTGATCAAAGAACACAAAATGTCTGTGATGATGAACTGGCTTCACTTGGGGACCCTGCAAGGAAAGCAAGAGCTGACCCCTCGTGTAGGATCAATTTCTCATTTACATTTCCACCCCCCCATGCAGTGGTAACACAGTTTATAGAGAACCACAGTAGCTGGCTTAAAACCCTGCTTTGTGCTCTCAGTTAATGTAGACAAAGCAAATATGGCTTGAACCAACAGAGGAAAGAACGTGTGAATGAGAGAACAAGACGGAGAGAACGGGTACAGAATATCATGTAGCAGAACAAAAGGACATGGAAATCAAGACACAGTAAGTAGGTCAAAGCCACATGACTGTAATACATCTTGAAGCTACTTAAACATGCACAGATTTCTTATGAATTACACACTTTTCTGTTCTTGCTCAAAAGGGAGGGAAAAAGAACTGCTGGCCCGAAATGGTGAATGCCATAAAATATTTGTTGGTTCAATAAAAGGTCCTGTATAACTTATCTTCATTTTAAAATTGGCAGTGTTGTTCAGATGTTTCTCTTTTTGCCTCTCCTGAACTTTCTTTTGTTGGTTTTGGAGACTGGCTTAACATGTGTTGACCGGCATTTTCAAAACA